ATTTATCTCTAATAGATCCTTTAAAAAAACTAAAATATCATTAACATATTTAAATTAAGAACAATATTTTTTTAATATCACTATAAATCCAGTCAGAGCTCAAATTTTCCACTGCAGACACTCTCATTATCATCAAAGTTATTGAACTGATTACTAGTTCTCAGTATTAACCTAATCTTTAAGATCGAAGGCTCCCTTTTTTCCCCAGAAAAAAAATTCCTCTTTCCTACTTCTAGCTTTATTTCAATTTTTCTTCTTGGAAAAAGAGAACAAAGAATCACTATTGTAGAAAGGAGGAGGAAAATAAAAGAATAACTGGCCACTCCTCATCAAATTTAAATGAGGTAAAAGGGGACTTCACTACTTAGTTTCCAGTTTTCCTTCTTAAACTATTTAGTTCTAAGCAAACTAAAGTGCTGAAGCCAACTCTAACGGACTCACGGAAGCCCAGTATTGAATTTCTAGAAATTTTACAGTCAGCTTGAAATTGGCCACAGTAGTATTTTACGCCATAGAAAGTGGCACTCTACAAATCAATCCTCCTTCCCTAGCCAGCTGCTCCCCCCTTACTAACACCAGCACGCCGCTGAACAATATACCATGGTTAGTTCGTATTACAAACTATTGCATCTGATCCAATTTAATTTAAAGATTAGGAGGAAGTCATAGAATTTAACATTCAGAAGAAAAGTTTAAGCTAGATTATGTTTTCTCATAGTTTGTCAGGATCAAGAGGTACTTTTACTTGCTTGAAGAATACCATATTATATTGTTTACCTTGCTAAAAACTGTCTCTATTAATCAGTAATAAGGAGAATACGTAGCACTCTGGAATAGAATAGAATAGAATAGTTTAAACCTAGAATCTGCCACTTAACTGCTGTTTTACTTCAGACAATTACAAACCTCAGTTTCCTCAACTGTAAGATGTGGATAACAACAGTATCTCTGTGTACCGCACAGGGTTACTGCATGCGTTCAACAGTTTGTAGATAGTGCTTAGAATTATCCCTAATAAGTAATAAGCTTCACTCAATAAAGGCTACCTGGTATTACTATGATAATTTATTCTTGTCATACAGTTTTATTGCTTTCCAAGAAGGGATAACTGTGGTAAAAATCAGCCAGCATTTGTCTCCCTTGAAGTGATGTGGCCCAAGGCACATGCTAATATCTATTTATATTTGCATAATGCCTTCCAATTTTCAAAGCATTTTCACATACCTTGCTTTAACTTTCCAAAAAACCTTATAATCATCCTCATTTTATTTGAGAAAATTTAAAACAAGAATATATGGAGAGTCTGCTGTAGCCTTTTTGATACCTTTGACACATTATCATGCAATACTTACCTGTACATTCATCTTAGCACCTAAAAAGAATAACATATAAGTACATCAGTATATCATAGTGTCCTACAAAGACTAGGTTCTCAATAAACATGTTAAAATGAACTTATCTAGCAAATATGAATTAAACATCCAGTTCCCTTTGTTCTAACTTAGTTCTCTAACAACAGGCTGGAACTACACAGCATGTGCCACAAGACACCGACACAAAAGTAAAATTAAATTGTGAATATGGTGCTACAAAAACTAACACTGTAAGATCTACCATGATGTCATCTGACTTACTGAGTTAGAAAATTGGCAGAAAAAAAATTTTTTTTTTTTTTAGACAAAGTCTCGCTTTGTCACCCTTGGTAGGGCCCTCGATAGAGTGCCATGGTGTCACAGCTCACAGCAACCACCAACTCTTGGGCTTAAGCGATTCTCTTGCCTCAGCTTCCCCAGTAGCTGAGACTACAGGCACCCCCCACAACACCTGGCTATTTTTTTTTGTTACAGTTGCCACTCTTGTTTTAGCAAGTCAGGGCCAGGTTCAAACCTGTCATCCTCGGTATATGAAGCTGGCACTCTACCCACTGAGCCACAGGTGCTGCCCTGGCAGAATAAATTTTATTGGTAAACTTTATAGTACAACATATGCTACCAAAATCCCTACTAGTTAATTAAAAAAAAAAAAAAAAGAAAACTTTAGTATATATACACATGCACATACATAAAACTCTCCATCAAAATATATCTGGTCAGAGAGAACACAGCACAGCCAACTAATAAACATGTATATCCTACTGGCATAGCTGGCTTATACATATTAGGTCTATATAATAACTCTTAGTAGTGTAGACTTACCAAGAAAAAGCAACTAATACTTAAGACAGAAAGAGGCCAGACTGTATCTCTTCTGCTCCATCAAGAAATAATCAGAATTAATAATCCATTGATTTGGTTAGGGGCCACCAAGAAAACATTTATCATTACCAAAAAATGCCTAACTAAATTTTATAACATTTTGAGATTAGACAGTACATCACAAATACAGAATTCATACCTCTACCTGTATTAGAAATAAAAGAAGACCTTGTTAAGAAGGAAAAGCCAGCTCCCAAGAGTAACAGTGAGCTTTCAATAGCTATTACCCATTCAACAAACATACTGAGCAAGTCTTGGGCTTGATACTGGAACCCATGGCCTATTCCAGGGATTGGCAAACTACAGTCCACTGACCCATTCCTGTTCACTCTATGTTTTTGTAAATAAAGTATTATTGAATTCTATCACGTTATTCATTTACAACCAATCTATGGTACAACAGCAAAAGTAAGTAAGAGCGATAGATTGGCCCACAAAACCTAAAATATTTACCCCTGTACAGAAAAAAGTCCGTCAACCATTGGCCTAGAGTGAATTCACAGCCCACGCAGATCTGAAAGCCAATGATGTGAATATTCCTGGGAGCAGAGGGAATAAGTCAGGGCATGCTTTCTAGATAAAAAAATGGTCAAAAAGGGCTTAAGTATTAAGATTTGGAAGCAGCCTAACACAGAACTAACTACGAGTCTATTACAGGTAGAGTTAACCACATAGGAAAAGGCTCAGAGAAAAAAGGATATAGGACATACCTCTGGAATTTCAAGAGTTTAATACTGCTAAGGTGTAGTAGAAAACAAGATTGAAAGAAAGGCATTAATAAACTGTACATACCAGCTTATTAAAAAGCTAGTATAAATCTTAATAAAAAGATGAAATGTTTTTAGTTTCAGAATATATATTATTTTGTGTTTATTCTTGCAAAAAACAATAAAAAAACCCTCCCACTTCTGGAAGGACATACAAGTAACTTAGACATTAGACACTGCAAGGGAAATGGGCACTAAAAACTGAACAGATAAAAGATGGTGGGAGACCTCACTAAATTCTTTTGACTTTTTTCTTTAATTACAAAATTGCATTATCTTCTCTAAAATTACATATTTTAAGATGTAGATTTTGTCGTGAGGGAAATATTAAATGAATTTAAGCAAGTGATGACAACATTACACAAGTAGATGAGACAGATACTGCATAGATGCGACGTACAGGAGGGTCGGAAGGAACAGAGAGTAATCAGGGAGCTCCCAGCAGACCACGAGCTGTTTGAAGATGTTAACACTGTACTGTGGAATTCACAACATATGAAGAAGTAAAACAGCTCACAATTAGCTCAAAGAGAGGAGAAATAAATTGAATTATATCATTGTAAGTTTTTACATGGTTAGGCAAAATATTAAATAGAGGTAGATGTTATAAGTCAAGGATGAATACTATAATCTCTACACTAACCATAAAAAGCCAAAGGACAAAATGAAATGGAATTTTAAGAAAAATTTTTAAAAGAAAAACTTTAATTAATCCTCCAGAAAAGAACAGAGACAATAAGGAACAAAGAACACATGTGAAAAACTGAAAAAAGGGCGGCACCTGTGGCTCAAAGGTGTAGCTCCATATGCCTGAGGTGGTGGGTTCAAACCCAGCCCTGGCCAAAAAACTGCAAAAAAAATTATAAAAAAAAAAATAACAAGATGGTAATACATATAAACCCAAGATTATCAGGAACTAGATTATTAAGTATCAATGTACTAACCTTTCCAATTAAAAGACACAGATTATTATGGTGAATAAAAAACAAGATCCAATTATATGCTTTTTATAAGAGACACACTTTAAAAACATAGACATTGATAAATTGAAAGAAAAAGAAAAAAGGTTTTTTAAAAGCTAGAAGTGACTATATTTATATCAAAGAAGATTTCAAGACAAAATTATTCCCAGACGCTAAAAGTAAAGGGAGACATTTCATAATGCTAAGAAAATCAATTCACTGTAGACTAAACAATGCTAAATGTTTGTGCTCAAGTTTAAAAAACATAAAGCAAAAATTCACTAAATAAAAAAAGAAAGGCAAATCCATTATTACAGTTGGGGAAAACACCTCATTTAGGAAAAGCCAACATAAACATTCGCATCAACACTAATATAAAATTCACTACAGTGGTTGTCCAGTGGTGACAACGTAGGGATAAAGCGAGAAAGGAAGGCTGAGAGCGCCCGGGTACAGACCCTAACCACCCGAGGATGGGTAAATTACTAAGCTGGATGCCTTAAAAACTGTGCGTAGCTTGTGTGAGAGCATAGCATTAACAAAGGACAGCACTTTATGATTAACCTTTATGCCCAGACCTCAGGACAATGCTGCATATATGGTTGTTTTCTGACAGGATTTCTGAACATTTAAAAACGTTACCATTGCCCCAGAAGGGGTCCTCCTCCTGCTCAGAAGAGGTCACCTACTCTGTGGAGTAGGATCTATTGTCTGTCTCTATCTTAATGAACTTCCTGTTGTTGGCTGGCTTGCACCTGAATTTCTTGTCACATGAAGCAAGAACCCACTTGGAGAGTTAAAAGGACTTTCCTCCCTTCATGGAGACAATCCCTGCATCAGTGAGAGTAGAGGTGAATATATAAAGTAAGTACAAAGAGAAAAATTTAAATTAAGCAGAAATGGAGTCTTACATACATAGGATTCCACATGCTAAAGGTATGCATACCTCAATTCTCTGGACATCAGATTCAAGGGGAAAATTTACTGCAAAGTCCTAACATTAATGTTTTTCTTACCAGCATCACTGTTAAGTTCATAACTCTTCCAAGGTTATCAATGTAGTAGACACTGTCTTGATACCAGGAGTCACAGTGCAGGTAATTATACATTCCAAAAGCATGCATGTGTTCCAGTGTATACTGATCATCTCGAAGTTTTACTTCTGCCACAGCTGAAATACAAGAAAGTAAACATCAACATAAGAGTTTCACCTCAGCTCATTCCTTTCTATAGAATACCAACAGGGCAAAGAAGCCATAGAATGCCAATCACAAAAGTCTTTAGGATAATTCACGACATCATTCATTCAAAAATAATCTAGGGAAGGAAATAACATGGCCAACTAGAGGCAGGTTTGACAGAGGCTCCTGCCCAGGAGAGATAATGGGCAGAATGGACTCAGTGAAGCTGAAGGTGGGAAGCTGAGCTAAGAAAGAAGATAGATAAGTACACATCATTTCTCTGAGGCAAGCTGTAACTAAAAGTAAACAAAGCCCACTGCCAAGAGGAAGAGAGAACCTCCTCCAAGTGGGAGCTCTTGGTGTGCTCTCTGTAAGCAAGGAGGGAACAACAGACCTCTTATTTCACCGCAGGGGGGAGAGCTGCTAAACACTAGGTCTCCTTCTCCAAGGAGATCCCACTTGTGGGCCTAGGCATCATCCTGCCAGGCATAAAATTAAACAAATATTTTTCCACAATTCTGAACTCTCAATCCACCCTTCCCTCCTCACATGGTGATCTGAAGGCCTGCCCTTGCAGAGCCCAGTGTGTTTGGCAATTCCTTAAGAGGCCTGGGCATTGTGTGGGCCAGAGGACAGCAGGGTAGAAACAGTAGCTCAAATGCAAGTTGGTGGGGGTTGGGGCACAGGGAGAAAGGGACACGTGGGAGACAGACAAACTGCGATGCGATGGTGCACAGCAGGCGGGAGGCGCTGAAGCCCCAGGTCAGACTTTGGAGATGCACTTTCATGATTCTGCTGCTCACTGGAGGGAAGGAACCCCTTTGGGGCTGCCAGAGGCAGTGTGCAACAGGGGTGGAGACACTCGCTGACTGCACATGTGTGCAAGAGAAACGCACCAGATGGTGTGAAGCAGGCAGAGGCACTGATCAAATTCCTCTGATCTGAATTTGGCAGCACACTTTCCTGATTCTATTGCTCACCAGAGGAAAAGGCTCCTGGCCCTGGGGTTGCTGATGAGGTGGGCAGCAGGGGAGGAGCCGCCTACTCTCCTCTGACTCTGGAAGGTGCACCTCCCTGACACGGTTGCTCACTGGAGAGAACCAGGCTCCAGCCCCTCAGGGTTGCCAGCAGCAATGTGTGGCAGGGGGCAAAGGTACTGATGCCCCTGGACTGACTCTCTGGCTGGGAATACCTTCCTAACTCCATTGCTCACCAGAGGGAACCAGACTCCAGCCCCTCCGGCTTTCTGTGGATCCCTACTATTAGGTTGCTGGAGATCCTTTGAACTCTCCCTGGTGAGCAGTGATTGTAATACTGGGGACAATCGAAATATAATTCTTTACCTGGGCTGTCTACATGGGGACCTTCCAAGGTTGAGTGCTGGTTGTTTTGTAGTGGGAGGGACTGATTCTCCTTCTCCAGCTTTTGCTGGTGGGAAGCAGGGTGCCACAGTTACTTGTATCTCTCCCAGCTGAGATTTCTGCACAGTACCACCTATCATTAGGATTGGATAGAGGCTGGCTGACTACAATACAGAGTCAGGTAGCACTATCACATCAAGCAGGTCTTCAGTCTCTGGCTGCAGCTCTGAAAAGGACCTTTGTAAAGTTACAGGGGAAAGGGTACAATCACCAGCCCCAGCTCATTGCTAAAGGGCTGGTTAACTCCACTTCCCAGAGGCCTTAATACAATCTCATCCTACCACTTTTACTAGCCAACTGCGAAAAATAATTATGGGCATAACCAGCAGAAGAACTCTGGCAACATGAATAATCAGAGCAGGTCTACTCCCCCAAGGAAGGACAAAAGAGATACAACAGAAGATACCATTCATAGACAAATAGCTGAATTGTCAGAAACAGAATTCAGACTATGGATGGCAAATAAAATGGAAGAAAAGATGGAAGTAGAAATTCAAAGAGTAGTTCAAAAGTTGTCTCAAGAAATGAATGAATTCAAAGACAAAGTCACCAAGAATATGGACATAATGAGAAAAGATATAACAAAGCTTGAAGAAGTGAAAAAGTTATTCAAGGGGCTTCAAAATACAGTAAAATCCCTCAGTAATAGAGCTGAGCATGCAGAAGAAAGGATCTCAGAAATGGAAGGCAAGGCTTTTGCATGATCCCAAGCATTCAAAGAGGCAGAAAAACGTAAAACAAGAACAGAACATTCCCTGAGAAAGTTGTGGGATCATTCCAAAAGATCAAACATCTGACTTACAGGAATTCCTAAAGGAAGAGAGGATGGTCCTAAAGGTACAGATGCTCTACTCCAAGATATCATGGAGGAGAATTTCCCAAGCATGGTAAGAAATACAGAAATTCAGATAGTTTCAGAACCCAGCAAGACTCAATCCAAATAAAGCATCTCCTAGACACATTGTAATTAACTTTGCCAAAGTTAATATGAAGGAGAAAATCCTGCAAGCAGCCAGACATAAGAAAGGCATTACCTACAAAGGGAGAAATACTAGAATGACTGCAGATCTATCAGCCAAAACCTTTCAAGCCAGAAGAGGATGGTCATCGACGTTCAGTCTTCTAAAACAAAAACAACTTTTAGCCCATGATCCTGTATTCAACTAAACTGAGTTTCATTTGTGAAGGAGAAATCAAATACTTTACTAACATGCACATGTTTAGGAAATTTGCCATAACCAAACCAGCTCTCCAGGAAGTACTCAGACCCATTTTCCATAATGACCAGCACAATGGTCTATTACCAAAGTAAATTAACCCAGAATTTCTGGAACAAAACTTAACTTCCACAACAGTGACAGGATTAGAAAACCCAGGAGAAGAAAAGAAATAAACAAAATTAGACAAGAACTGAAATTAAAAATAAAAGAATCATTCAGAGGATCAATGAAACCAAAAGTTGGTTTTTTGAAAAAATTAATGAAATTCCATAAATCTTTGGCTAGCCTAACCAAAAACAGAAAAGTAAAATCGCTAGCAATGTCAATCAGAAGCAATAAAGGGGAAACAACAACAGATATCACAGAAATTCAAAGTCTTCAATGAATACTATGAAAAACTCTAGTCTCCATAATATGATAATCTGGAGGAAATGGACCAATACCTGGAAGCATGCCACCTTCCTAGACTCAACCAGAAAGATTTAAAAATTTTGAACAGACATATACCAAGCACTGAAATAGCATCAGCTATACAAAATCTCCAAAAAAACAAAAGTCCAGGACCAGATGGCTTCACATCAGAATTATACCAAATCTTCAAAGAGGAAATAGTGACTAGGTAACATAAACTTTTCCAAAATATAGAAAAAGTAGTAATCCTCCCTAACATATTCTATGAAGCAAATATCACCTTAATCCCCAAACCAGGAAAGAACCCAACAAAGAATAAAAACTATAGACTAATATCATTAATGAATATCCATGCAAAAATATTCAATAAGATCCTAGCAAACAGAATTCAACAATATATCAAAAAAATTATACACCACGATCAAGTTGTTTTTAATCCTAGGGTTACAAGGTTAGTTCAATATATGTAAATCTATAAGCATAATACATCACATAAATAAAATAAAAAATAAAGACCATATGATTCTCAATTGATGCAGAAAAAGCTTCTGATAACATCCAGCATCCTTTCAGGATTAGAACACTTAAGAAAATAGGCTTACACGGGACATTTCTTAAACTGAAAGAGGCTATCTACAGCAAACCCACAGCCAGTATCATATTGAATGGAATAAACTTGAAAATATTTCCACTCAGATCTGGAAGTAGACAAGGATGCCCATTGTCACCACTGCTATTCAACATAATAATGGAAGTGCTACCTATAGCAATTAGACAAGATAAGGGGATAAAGGGTATTCAAAGAAGTCAGAGGAAGTGAAACTCCCACTCTCCACAGATGACATGATTTTATAGGAAAAACCGCAGGGACTCAACTACAAAATTCTTAGAAGTGATCAATGAAAATAGCAGTGTCTCAGGATACAAAATCAATACTTGCAAATCAGTAGCTTTTATATATACCAATAATAGTCAAGGATCTATTCCTTTTACAGTAGTCCCAAAGAAGATGAACTACTTGGGAATTTACCTAATGAAGGACATGAAAGATCTCTATAAAGAGAACTATGAAGCTCTGAGAAAAGAAATAGCTAAAGATGTTAACAAATGGAAAATCATACCATGCTCATGGCTGGGAAGAATCAACATTGTTAAAATGCCCATACGACCCAAAGCAATCTACACATTTAATGCAACCTCTATTAAAGCACCATTGTCATACTTTAAAGAGCTTGAAAAAATAGTGCTTCATTTTATATGGAATTACAAAAAACCACAAGAGGTGGTGCCCATGTCTCAGTGGGTAGGGTGCCAACCCCATATACCGAGGGCGGCAAGTTCCCAGCCCGGCCAAACTGCAACCAAAAAATAGCCAGGCATTGTGGCAGGTGCCTATAGTCCCAGCTACTTGAAAGGCTGAGGCAAGAGAATCGCCTAAGCCCAGGAGTTGGAGGTTGCTGTGAGCTGTGTGACACCGTGGCACCCTACCGAGGGTGATAAAGTGAAACTCTGTTTCCACAAAATAAATAAATAAATAAATAAAAATAAAAAACCTCAAATAGCCAATACATTACTCAGAAATAAAAACAAATCAGGAGGTATCATGTTGCCAGACTTCAGGCTATACTATAAAGCTATAGTGATCAAAACAGCATGGTTCTGGCACAAAAGCAGAGGTAGATTTATGGAAAATAGAGAACCAAGAGATGAACCAAGCTACTTACCATCGTTTGATCTTTGATTAGCCTATCAAAAACATTCAGTGGGGGAAAGACTTCCTATTTACCAAATGGTGCTGGATGAACTGGCCGGCGACCTGTAGAAGACTGAAACTGGACCCCCACCTTTCACCATTAACAAACATTGATTCTCACTTGATAAAAGATTTAAACTTAAGACATGAAACTATAAAAATACTAGAAGAGAGTGCAGGGAAAA